CGCGGGCCGAGGCGCTGGCACCTGAGGCAGCCCGAGCTGGCAGGGCCGGGTCGCGGCCGCCGCGGGTTTGTTATTGTCAACTCGGCCCTTCCGCCGCAGAGCACGCCGGGAAACAGCCGGCCGGGGGAGGGGCGCTCCGGGCGTCTGCGCAAACCCGGAAGTCGCTGACCTGCCCCGGACGGGCGCGGCTCCGCCCGCGGGCTTAGTGCGCGGCTGGCGTCTCCTCTGTCCTGCCCTGACCCGGGAAGGTATTGCGGCCCTTCCGTGGACGGCCCCAAGGTGAGCTTGACCTTCTGGCCGCGGCGGGCCGACCCCGCCAGACCTGGAACAGCCCCAGTCGGGGAACCGGAGGCGGAAGAGTTAGCATCTGTACAGCTCCGGGGCCCTCGTCGGCCGCCCGAGTGCCCGGACTGAGGTCGGTGACGGGGTCAGCCGACGGTCACCTGGGACACTCATACCTTGGCCACCTGGACTGCAGGCAACTCGGAAAGTATGCCTGGCATCTTTGCAAGGGTAGGGCGGCACATAATCAGACCAGGTAAGCTGAGAGCACGTCCAGCAGAGGAGAACCGAAGCCAAGTGGACTGGACTGTAAGCGGCACGACCGTACAATACCGAGGTGTCTCTAATGAGTCAATAACATCAGTAGAGATGAGAATGTCAGTTTGGGAGAAAATTGCCATTTGTAAAGGTAATTGGGCTCGGGCAAGGACTTAAGCTACAAATTTAAAATCTGATGAGCAGATGTTACCTGCAGACTAATTATGTGACACAAACACTTCTTAAATTGCTCTTTCCAGGAATTTCTGATAGAAGTAAAAGTTTAGGACTACCATCTCTAAGTCAACAATGAGTGATTTACGACAAAATGAGACACAAGGGGTATAAACTGAGCCAGATATGCAGCCCTTCATTTATTGTGGTAGAGACTGGAAAACATTGACTGGTAAGCATTAGCTGCATTTCAAAGTTGTGTTGGAGAGGAGCTTGTTTATATCACTTGTTTTTTAAACTGGAATTTTAGCATATTGCTCAAGCAAAGGAAAACAAAAGTGAAGAAAATAAGCCCAAAATTATGCACCAGGGAAAGGAGTGAATTGACAAGACTAAAGAAAAAAATTTTTACTAGCACATCAAATTAACATATGTTGCACGAATCGTAATTGGTCTTAATAAAAACTCAGAGTCAGATATCAGGATGAAAGCTGAAAGAAAGATCAGAGAAGCAGAGCAAGCCACAGCCACCCCCTCTTACCTCACCAACTCCTCAGCCTGCAAGAAGTGAGTTCCTGTCTCCTCCTGCTTTATATTCCTTTCTCTGTCTCAACCTTCCTAGTGCTGAGATTAAAGGTGTGTCATCCCCAGTGAGGAATTAAGGATGTGTGGCCACCACTGCCTGTCCTGGTTTCTCTTTTAGACTGGATTAATCTCATGTAGCCTAGTGTGGCCTTGAACTCATAAAAATCCAGACAGAGATCCTCTGCCCCCCAAGTTCTAGGATTAAAGGTGTGTGCCACCTCTGCCTGACCTCTATGCCTAACTCTGTGGCTAGCTCTGTCCTCTGATCTTCAGGCAAGCGTTATTTCCTAGATTACAAACAATATATCACCACATATGTAAGCTATGTGATAATGCAAAGTCTAGCTAGAATCTGACTATGAAAAACAGGGCTGGTGAGATGGCCCAGAGGGTAAGGTCATCTGCTACTGAGTCTAACAACCTCCCTTCTGTCCTAGGACCCACATGATGGGAAGAGAGAACCAGCTCCTTGAAGTTCTCTCTCTCTCTCTCACACACACACACACACACACACACTATAAAGAGCACACTAGGGCTATATCCTGGTGTTCCCTTGTAGTTAATCAGTGTCGTTCATCAGTACAGATGATGTCCAATTTCAAATGTTAAAACACAACATATCCTCATGGTTATCTACTAAAAAAATAAGATGTTCTTGTCCCTGACTTCTTTGAGAAACTATCACTACAGATGTCTGATTGTTGCTTTATAATATAGTATAAATGTTAAGAGTTTATATGTATCTCAAATTCTTTGCTAACACTTAAGTGAAAACATGTTACATGAATTCTGTTAAATTTACTTTTGAGTACCCAGGAGATGTGTTGCTAATCATGCATACCCATAAGTCTTCTGTCCACAAGCCAATTTCCCTCATTCTCTTGAACACTCTACTCTCCATAATAAACAGGAACAAAGTCCTCCTACAACACCATTTGAAGCATCTTAATCCAGTCTCGGTTTTGCCTTCCTGGCTTTTCTCAACGAAACTGCAAACAGATTTACTAGAACTTTTAAATTATGTTGCCTGGACAATGCTGAAACTTTATTTAAACTTACTAGTGCATTGGTCATTCTTGTGTTGTCTCCTTCCTGCTGCTTCTAAACCCAGACCATTTACTTGATTCTTTCCTCAGCTCTCAAGTAATTAGAATAATACACTATGGATAATGCACAGATTAGGTGCTGTGTGAGATAAAGGACATTCTTGTCCTCTACTAATTTTAAAAAATTTAAACCTGTCAATGTTTCAGTGCATTTTCAGTAAAGGAGATTAAGTAAAGGTGCTTTTTTTTTTTTTTTTTTTAAACCAAGCTTAATGATAGCCTGACAACCTGGGTTTGATCCCCAGGACTCACAGGATGGAAGAAGAGATCTGATTTTTTTTTTTTCTTTTTTCCCCTCTTTGGTTTTTCGAGACAAATTTTCTCTGTGTAGCTTTGGAGCCAGTTCTGGAACTTGCACTATAGACCAGGCTGACCTCAAACTCGAAGAGATCTGTCTGTTTCTGCCTCCCAGGTGCTAGGATTAAAGGCGTATGCCACCACCAACTAGCATAAATGTAGCTTTTAAAGTGATTTTTTTTTTTTTTGTGCCGGGCGGTGGTGGCGCACGCCTTTAATCCCAGCACTCGGGAGGCAGAGGCAGGCGGATCTCTGTGAGTTCGAGGCCAGCCTGGGCTACCAAGTGAGTCCCAGGAAAGGCGCAAAGCTACACAGAGAAACCCTGTCTCGAAAAAACCAAAAAAAAAAAAAAAAAAAGTGATTTTTTTTTAGGAGTGGGGGGGCGGGGTTATGCAGAGTCTACTGATAAACACCTGAGTACTTCAAATTAATGAAATTGCTAAGTCCCATTTTTCTCTGCTTTTACCTGACACATCTGTAACTTTGGATCTTTTAAGTATCCAACATACTGATGGTAAACTCCTCTTTAAACATTAGCTCTTTCCCTGCAGAGTGGGACTAACGTTTGTTGGCAGCACCTCACAGCTTGTTCAGGCCCTCTCTTCGTGTCTGGCCCTGTACTAGCTTCCATTGTTTTTCTATCCAAAACTCTAATTATGTTTCTCACCTTCCTAAGAATTTTTAGAGGTTTTGTTTTCTGTATGGACACAATTTGAACATTTTTAACATAGCACAACAAATCTTACTGGGATTGGGACTAGGTGCCAGCTCAATTTACATTATACCAGATTAAATTTTCTCCCCTTCCAATGAATCTTTAAATGGGATGAGTTTATAAATTCATAGGATTCTGGAGAAATTGACTCAAATCATTATAAAGTATTTGTACAACAAAATAAATTCTGTAAATACCTTAAAGGCCAAGTAAGTTTCCGTAAAAATTCTTGCCCTCACATGTCTCAAAGGCCACCAGTAGTAATACAGGGGCCTTTCAAACAAAACTGCAGGGATAGTTGAGTACTTGGGAGGTGGAGGCAAGAGGATCAGGAGTTCAAGGACATCCTTAGCTGTGGGGTGATCCAGAGACCAGCCTGTGATATGAGCCTCTGTAAAACAAACTACGCATCGATGACGAGTTTATATGTCATTAATCTTTTACAAAAATCCCTTAAGGATGTTGGGGAGATTGTGGCACATCTTTATTTTGTCAGCTCAGCCTGATTTGAAATTCCACTCCTAACATTTATTTGATATTTCTTAAACAACTTAGTATTATTGCCCTAATTTAAGGTATGTTCAGTAGCAATCACTTAAAGTATAGATTGATCAGTTATGTTTATATATTTGGCTTTATTCAGTGCATATCAAAATTATGTCTATTTTGAGCAAGTTAAAATAACTGAAATTTTGTTTTTAAGAGAGCTTGCTCAATGGTTAAGAGCACTGCTGCTCTTGTGGAGGACTGTTTGGATCCCAACACCCACTTGGTGGCTCACAAACATCCTTAACTACAGTTCTAGGGGATCTGACACCCACTTCTGACCTCCTTGCACACCAAGCATGCATGTAGTATAGGCAAAACACTCATAAACATAAAATAAGATCAATATTTGTTTAAAAAGATTATAACTCAATCAACTGTTGTCAGACACTTTTGAAAGTACTTTGGGCACTGATTATGAAGAGGTTCTTCTCTGTTTACAATGTCTTCAATATTGTTTACAGGCCTTAAAGCTGCCCTATGCTGTTGATTTGTTCATATTCATAGATGTTATTAATGATAATGATGATAGTTACCTTGAATTTCTTCTAGGCTAATAATGAACCTGAAGAGCTAGTAACCAACACTGTTGGATACCCCAAAACACTTGCAAAAAAAGTACCATGCTTAATTCTCTAAAGGATTTAAACCAATAAAGTAAGACAAAGCTTTGTTTCAGTTATGAAGGACATACTATCTCTATGATTATAAAACATTAGTCCTTATATTCATTATTTCAAAATGTATCAAAACATCCAGAAGTAGCGCCAATACTTTGTGGAATATTTTCAAGTACAAATTAGCCAATTATGTAGACAGAAAGAACTGATTCCAATGTCAAGTGGGTATTGGGCTTCTAACTTACATACATTATAATAAACATTTTAAAAAGAATGGAGGATGGAAGCTGTAGCTCCAGCTGGATATAGTAGTGCATACTTATAATCTTAGCACACAGAAGTCTGAGGTAGTGAGGCAAGAAGATTTTGAGGCCACTCTGTCTAAATAACACCATGACAAAGTACATACAAACCTGTATATCAAAGGAACATAAATCCTAAGGAAAATACCTATTGCTTTAGAAGCACTCTAATATTTTCTTTTTTGTCCCAATTCTAGTATTGACCTACCATTGATTTTATCATTGTATCTAAGGGTTTGAAGGATGTTAGGTTCAGTGACAGGAACTGGATCTTGAGATCCATGCTATTTTGATTGCATACTTCAGTAGTAAGCTTGTGATTATACTTATTTTTAAAATACAGCATTCTTATTGAAACTATTGAAATGTTTTTATATTTGTGTCTCTTAGATTTTACATTACAGTTCTATTTATCTGTCTTAACTAATCCAGATTTTATTATTTGCCCCTAGTTTTACAAATAAGGAATTGATTCATGGAGACTAAGTTACTGAATCAGTACACTTCCTTCTAATTAGTGATTCTTAGTAACTTGTCAGGACCAGAGTTTAAAACCAGGTGACTAGTTCTACAGGCCATAACCACAATACACAGTGTTGCCTCTTCCTTTGGTATCAATTCAAAGGTAGAAAAAGGTATGAACTTGAAAGTTTAACAGTCAGCTAAGTTTCTCAATGATAGAATTATTTTAGAGGCATGTGGGAGGGGTTGGCTTAGTTAACTTTTTGTTGTAAGGGGCCAACCTATGAATATTAGGATTTTTTTTGTATTATTTTTTGTTGTTGTTGTTTTTGTTTTTTGTTTTTCAAGACACGGTTTCTCTGTGTAGTTTTTTTGGTTCCTGTCCTGGATCTCGCTCCGTAGACAAGGCTGGCCTCCAACTCACAGAGATCTGTCTGACTCTGCTCCCAAGTGCTGGGATTAAAGGCGTGTGCCACTGCCACCTGGCTAGGATTTTTTTTTTAAACTAACTCTATATGTTTGGGTATTTAATCTGCATGTATGACTAGGCACCATGTGCATGCCTTGTGCCTGGAGACCAGAAGAAGGTATTGGATCTT